GAAAGGTAGTTTTATATTGATTCATGAAATGCCCACAAAAATATTTTCTTTTTTTTAATATGGACGGATTAGGCTTTCAAACCAACTATATCTCAATTGTAATTATTTAACATGAGCTCTATTAAGTCGTTAACAGAGGTATGTTAACAGATATGGTAGGTGTCCTTACTAGTTAAATTCGAATTTATCTTCACACCCTTTATCACTTTAACCTCAGTCTGAGTAATTTTATAGAAGTCAAGAATGCAGAAACAAACCGCCCACTAACCCTATTAATAGATACAGGAGCTGACATATCACTACTAAAATACACACACAACAAATACAATGACATAAACACAACATGCACGACTAACAAATCTGGCATCGGAAAAGGGACTACTAAATCACTCGGATCTACTCACTTAGTCCTGAAAATGATTAACTTTCGAGTCCCACACAAATTCCACATAGTATCCGCGAACTTTCCCATACAGTGTGACGGAATTCTCGGAATGGATTTTATAAAAAATTGTTTTAACACAACACCTTCCACAACACACAATTACTTATGAATTAGTATTTGCAAGGCCACCAACCCAATTAACAGATCGCAAGAAAAACATTGAGCCACTATATAACATAGACGACTACGCTAAAGAAACTAAATATAGATAAGATATAGCATACGCGCGCGCTAGGTTACTGTTAGATAAGGAAAAAGAAAAACAAAAAATAAATTACGACAGGAAAACTAACAATTTACCACTAGTAGTAGGCAACCTAGTAATCCTAAGAAATGAAGTAGGACATAAGTTACAGAATAAGTATTTAGGACCGTATAAGGTCATAGAAATTAAGGATAATAATAATATTAAAATAATAGACAATAAAAATAAAACTCAAATCACACACAAAAATGGGTTAAAATTATATCACGAAGCTTCATGAGTTACCTAAGTGTAAGGCGCCTACACTAACAAAATATAAATATAAGCTACACACACACAAAATAATAATATAACTGTAAAAACAATTTTTTTTTATACATAAGTGCGTATAAGAAACCTACAGAAACAAAATTTTTGTTCTGTAAAAGCATAATTATGTATAAGACCCCTATTTAAATAAAAGAAATTTTTTTTTGTAATACAAACAAATTTTATACATAAATATTTATAAAAACCTCACACAAAATATATGTACACTATAAAACTACGGTGGAGGCAATAACATCGATAATTGATAAACCCAAGAATGATTATTCATTGTTAAAGATCATTCTTCCCAAGAGGAAAGGTGTAGTATTATCGATTTGTCGCACTCTACCGTAGTTTACAAGTTATTGCTAAATTTACATTTTACTACTAACCTAGTTAAGGTAGTGCAATTTTAGTAGTAAGCTATTAATATATTATATGCTTACGTTATTAAACGATAACCTACTTTAGTTATATTGTTTAAGTTAGCATTAAGTTATTCTGTATATAAGATACTGACCATACATTAGGTAGGTCATAGTCATAATCACATAGTCATAATCACATAGTTATAATCATATAGTCATAATCATATAATCGTATAACCAAGTACTTTAAGCACAATCAAAAATCTAAATAAAGAATCTACAACAAACCAAAGAACCTTCCATTATTAAGTGGTGTCACTACAGCTTCTAAGTTTATTTCGAAATTTCAAATTTTTATGGAAAGAATCAACGCATGAGCATCGTTCAGGAGCTGTTCACTGACGTCCATGACAACCCAAATACTATGACTGTTTTTGCTTCTTGCTCATAGGTTTAACGGAGAAATTTTTCTATTGTGTAAGAAAAAAAACAAAAAGAACAGACTAGTGTTCCAAATAATAAAGAAATTTCGTTAATCAGTATTTCTTTTCAGAATTCTTCGCTCACATAATAGCGCAATTTAAAGAAACAATTATGAAAAGAGAACAAAGTCGAAAGCCCGTCTGTATAGCATAAGGATGGCTCTTGTACAAGCAAATGTCATGCCTTTTGTTGTTACCATGACAAAAGAGAATACTTAATAGACAGATCAAGACAGCCTGCATATAGAAATGTATCGGGCATCTACAGTGCGCAAAAAAGAAGTGAATGCGGAATATGTGTGTTATGGGAATTGTTGTTACAATGAATTTTTGTAAAAGGAAAATCAAACGTATTGACTAGTGAAATCCGTCCTAATAAAAGAAATCGAAAAATACTACTTTTTTTTTTCCAAAGGCTACACTAACAATAGCAATTTATTAATTAACAAATAACAAAAAGCAAAAAATGTAAATCTCATTCCGTCTGTCTGGAAAAAATTTCATACGCTAATTTACAGTTAAATGTATAAAACTATAATTAAGTGCAACGGCTCATACGCATTCATAGACGTGCAATAAAGGTCAAAATTTTAAGGGAATTGTCTTGAATATACACGAGTCTTTGCGTTATTTTCGCTGATGATTACAGTGGGGAGATGAACTATGCTTTGATAAGAAGTATAGATGTGCCGAAACTCTCACCTCCCAGCGGTGATCCCCGGGCAACGGCTTCGGCCGGCTAAGAAGAGTTTAAGGTTTTGGGCTGCTAACTCGGCGACGAGTTTCTGATAGATGGTGGAGGGGTTGGCTGGAAGAAGAGCTCTACTCAATAGCTAGTTACTACCAAGGAAATACACTGAATGGGTTTAAGTACAATGAAGGTAGTAATCTAGCGAGTGCATGGTAGAGTGCATTAGACTAGTCTACCATGTTCAGTGCAATACCCGAGACCTATATATCTTGAAGAAAAGTAGTTCATTGGTGTTAGCTACCAGGAAAGTATGGAGGATCCGAAGCAAGTACGGTTGTTTTTAACAAACGCCCAAAGTGTGCCATAAGGCTTTGCAAAATAAACTGGGAGCCAAGGGGGTCAGGAAGCTCGCTCACTAAGCCACGTATGCCTGCGGGTATATGATGGACTTGTTCTTAAGTCGTAACAAATAAATAAATTAATTACACTATTTATGCTAAAGGAATTGACGGACGGCTTTCCCTCTGGCCGAATAAAAGAAAATGTCTGGTAAATGAATTAATACATGCAAAAAGGAATTGATGGACGGCTTTCCCTTTGGCCGAATGAAAGAAAATGTCTGGTAAATTAATTAATACATGCAAGAATGGAAAAGGGGTATGACGAATCAGTTCTCCCCTTTTACCTATTTTTACTTTTGAACACATGTCATGAATGCCTGCGGGTAAAGGTGGTAATTGATCAACAAGCACAGTGGAAGCCTTATGGCGGAAGCAGTCAGTTGATCAATTGGTGAGTCCTGACTACTGGGTGCGGCCCTTCGGGGAGTACTCGTGGTGGTTGTGGTTGGCGAGTTCCTAGCTAAAATGGAACAATGAGTGCAGCTAGGCCTCGCCACTCACCGGAGGGGGGTTTATTGTTCCATACACAATAAACTGATCTGGACTCTGGTGCTGTTTAGGCCCCTACTCTGTGGGGATTGTCTAACTCGCCAGGGGGCGTAGTACGCTTAAAAAAGTGGTTTGGGCCACCGTGGGGTTAAGCCTTACAGGCAGGAACCCACGTTAAACCCTTGCCACAAATTCTGATGATTACAGTAAAAAAAACTTTAGTTTTGTTCGAAGGGAATTCGATGCGGCATTATTACTATTACAGTGGTCATTGTTATTGGTTTTCCCCGCTTTCCATCTATGCGGTATCAAGTTATTCTGGGTGAAGTACACGATACCTATTACAAACTCTATTGTACTTAAAAACTAAATATAAGTAACAATTGTGCCTATAGCAATGTTTACTGAATAGATGAAGAAGATAGGGAAGTGTGTGTGTGTGTGCGGGTGGGAATGTCTGAGTTATCATGAACGCTGACTTAACGGGCAAACAGATACATAAACGCAGGCTAAGGGAGAGGACGGACAATAGTTCTGTTATTTGGCATCACATCGATAATGCTCATGATAGATTACAAATTTTTTTCTTGTAAACGTGATTAGGCTAGGCCGATGAAACAAAGAAGAGCCCCAGCTCTACCAGGCTTGAGTTCATTTTAACTGATTTTTTACTTTTGTCAAAGTTTCTTCTTTTAAAAAAATATTTTTATAGCTGGTTATAAAAGAATAATTCAATAAAAAACGAATATACAATTTTATATTAATATTTAGCCGTTTTATTTTAAAACGTGCTATTAAAGATGAGCCAAAGAGTTTGATTATCTATACATTTGCAAACAACTTCACAATTGTCTGGGTCGTCTTACTCTGCCGTGTCACATGTTCTATCATTATAAAGTAAAAGTTGAGCCTACGGAATCTGGACATAAGTAATTTTTATTGTTTGCACTTAGGAGGGCTTGATTCGGATGCTCCGCTCCCATAGTAATCGCGTAAAACGAAGAGGCATGACTGCTTAACCTTGAAGGCAGAAGGTATTTGTTTTGAGTTACATTCGTAGATAACCCTTTAAGAGAACCGATTGACGTACGTAATTTGCTAAAAGAAATCCACACTTATCTTCGTTCCTACTTGACTCGTAATTATAAGCCAATAGTTTCTTTTCTGTCCTGATTTGATTACATTTATCAAAACCGATTTTATATCCGTAGAAAACAAAACTCAATAGATCCACTGATTAAAATAAGAAACTCGATAAAAACAAGCTTCAAGCACCTTTAAGGAAATCTTGCCTCGGGCCTAGTTTTGAAAATAATAAATTTTAGTTTTCTTATACAACTTGCCAAAATTATCCAAAGTTTTAAACTCGTGTTCATGCCTTCTCTTTTAGAAGCTATGTATATCTATTGTTCATCAGTTCAATCAATACACCTTAGCCATTTTCCCAGATGACGCAGCAATTCACCTCTGTGAAATTGCAACGGAAGTAATGACAAACCGTCAAAATAATGCGGTGACTTCACAGCGGACAATAAAGACTTTTGCATTCCGCCAAGAAAATAATTAATAATAACATTGTCCAATGAAAACCGAAAGCCAAATATTGAAGTGTTATGCTTGATGCCAAGATAAAATTTAGAGATCATATGCGTTATTTAAATAATATATTAATTCCCTTTAGAAATCGCAAATTTACGCTTTGCATTAAGAATAAAAAAAATATTTTAATGTCGTATTTCATGCTGTTACATTGTACCCAATCCTTATTTAATCTATTATCAAATTAGTAGCTAAAAAAATTACAAGCAACCAACCGCTCTTCCGCCTCACGCATTCATGATATGTATGCATTATCAGCATGGAGCTAGTTCCTGGCAAGATAAATTAGTTTACGGAGGAAAAGAAATCTATTGTTGCTAAAAAATTGAAATGATTGCTATCCGTAAATAAATTATATTTGTACATCATAATTCATATTCAAGCTATCAAGAGACCTTTTTATTCAATGCTATTAACATATTCTGTATAATAAACTGTAAATCATTACCGAATCTAATTGACAAACTTCTCTCTGACAATTCGTCTGCCACTAATATGTTCCACTCATTACAGCCGTTTATAATTACATGAAGATTCAAGGTCTTAGCGCGTTCATCTTAACCATAAATAGAACTAGAAATTATCTGCTTAAATTGCTTATTGTAACACGACTGCTCTCTTGAAAATTCCGTGCAAACGGCATCTATTTTTTAAGTTATTTGACTTTGTGCTTTAAAATTTTTTAAACTATGTTAAATACAAATTTATATGTACGTATACAAGTTTTCAAGATTCAGCGAATTTCATTTTGTTTGGTAAAAATTTACCCAATACAGACTTGAAATTTTGTTGGCAATATTTTAGTAACAATTAAGCTTAGCTCTAAAATGAAAACTTAAAAAGGTTACCTGAAAGTCACAAAGGCATATTACGATGCTGTATTTTGATGAATCTTCAACACGAAATCGTTGACTTCAATTACACATAAGAGCAGTTTCTACTAGTATATGTAGTTCGCAAATTCTGACCTGCTGAATGTGAATACCTGCGAAGTTTAGCGTCGGTAAATTCTCCAATAATTGCTATTTGGCCGCTCCTTTACTCCTTTAAAATGCCTGCCGCTTCATGAGAGATTTTATCAAATTAACCATACATTTTACAGCGTTAATAAAGTTACGGATAAAGTAGGAGTAGCCGGCATTTACAGTTGATTCCAGTATTTTCGGCACACATCTGAGGTTTCAAATAAATCTTAATAGATTTTCAACAAATGTTAAATTTTAACTTTAATTTTTCGTACCCTTCCCGTGTGTATTGCATACTATTATGAAGGATCAGAGGAGATTTTGTTTCCACTTCTTTTCTTAAAGATTTCCTTTTTCTGTGATTTTTCAATCGATCATAAACACTTCTGGTGGAGAAAGAATTTTAAGTCCATCCCGCAAAATCACTCAGTTCATGGCTAATTATTATTTTATCTATATACTCTTAAGTATTTCATCTGAAATTATAAGATTTTTAGGAAAAAGAACATTGACTACCAATTTATACACACTTGTATAATAGCACTGCTTTTTATCCACAATCTTTAGCTCGCCATGATGCCAAGACAGCACCATAGATAATACAAAACATGCAAAATTATTGAAAAATGTAAACAAACATATAAGCTTATTCTCACATGCATGGCATTTTTACAAATTATTGAATTAAAAGTCGTATCGACTAGTCCACACTTTTTAAAGAACTTATATCCGCGACTGAAATTATTAGCAGCGATCCAAATTTATTATTCGTGGTAATATTCTGAACGCTTTAATTCAAAAATATCATATGTGTGAAATAACCTCTCTCTCTTTTTACACAAAAAACAGCAATTTCCAAATAACTTGCTTCCATATATTCCAAAGAAACTCTCAGAAGTGCGCAACGAATATCTCGAGTAATAGACATTAGCGGAATTGAAACAGCTTAAATCACTTTCGTTACCTAAATGTAACGTACTCATTACGCTTTACGCACACACGTTTACGGTTCCTTAAATTGAAACTAATAAGAAATATTTTAAAATTAAAACATTAAATTAATTTATTCGTTTTCTTATATTGCGGCATACAAAATCTGTTATAGCGTGTAATTCTCCATTTCATCATCATTAAAAATTTCGTATTTAGTTTTATGCACATGTATTTTTATGTATTTTTTTTTTTTTTTTTTTGTATGTTGAACAGAGATGGACTAAGCCAATAGATTTGTTATTTTTATGTATTTTTATATGATGCGGAGAAAGGAGAATAAATATTTCTAATATTTACATTCTAACAAGTGGTCGCTCATTTACTTACTCTCTAAAGTGGTGAAATACGAAGTTCGCTCATAAGAGGTAACATTTGTTCGCGAAGAATATGAAAATTAATATTTACTTTGGTAGCTTCACGTATGACTTTTGTCACTGCTTTGTTCTTGCTGAATGAAAAAGTAAAAAAAAGTTTATGTTTATATTTTTTTACGGCTGTGAAAACCGGAAAAATAAATGGTTTTAACCTCAGATAAAAAAAATTGCAAAGTACATAAAAGCTTTACACCTATAGGAAGGGGCCACGTAAGAGATATATACTCTAGCGTTGGTCTCGCTAAGCATTTTTGTAAAGTAAGGGTCGTGAAACTTTTTAGACCACCGTTTAATAAAACCATGCATTGACCTAGCTTTATTTACAAAGAGATCAATGCGTGAAGTGAAACGAAGCATATAGGCGAATAAAAAACCTAAGTCCCTAATAGAGGAGGCAGTCCTTCCTGAGAATTAAAGTTTCTTAAGTTTATTAAATTTACTTTCATAAAATTTAGTAAGCACCATTTAACCAAGTTGTTTAAATCAGATTGAAGGAGATACAAGCGCGTTTTCTAGAAAAGGAAAGAAGACTGGTTAATATCGTACATAAAGATATGTCTGCGCTTAATTGCTGAAGTGGGATAAATGATGTAAAGGATAAGCAGAAAGGGTTACAAGTGGCTACCTTGAAGGATATGCTAATGTTATGAGGGATTCATCAGAGGTGAGTTTGCAAGAATCATAGACGATTTATTATGGAAATAAGAACTTATGCATTTCAATAGCAAGAAAGCGAAGCCTGAGAGCCGGAGTTTAAAGAAATTTACCACTAACTTTAGTCAAACGCTTTACTAAAATCGGTGCATATGAGATCTGTGCGAGGGCTACTAGAAAAAGCCTTGCAAACATGCCAAGTTATTTTTAAGAGGCTCGTAACGGTTGATATTCCTTTTAGGAAGTCACGCTGAAATGGAGAAATACAATTTTGATTGCAAAAGTCATTGGGTGAGTAACAATTCGTTCAAACAATTTAGGTAAGACACTCAATCTGGCAATGCCTCTATAGCCCTCGATCAGATGTCTGTTTCCACCTTTGTAAATTGGAATAAGGGATCTACTCTTTCAACACAAGGGAGGAACACACGTTTTCGAAGAAACGTAAAAAACCTTTGAGATAACACCACGTAGGTTGCCAGAGCTTGAGTTGAGTGTACTTGATGGTATGCCATCAGGCACGGTCTCACAACTACATTTTAGAGATCTCAACCCTTATTTTCTGAAATGGTGTAACTGGGAATAAAAAGAAGTGTCGAAACGTCTTTAAATATAAGTTCCTGTATATAATTTCTTTGTAAACACATTTTCTAAAAATTGTAAATGTAAACCACGCTATTCTCAAATTCGCTCTTCAGTGATATGAACTTAATTGCAGAAACATATGGATAAATACGTGAAATTGGGAAAGGCACAGACGCTTCGGAAGTAGAAGGAAAACTCTCGACATTTTTTTTTTTTTGGATGGCGGGTAGAGAGTATATCAGCCTCACGCGGGCCTTGCGCGAAATGTGGGAACTGTAATGAAGTATTAGAAACTAACTTAATGGTCTGAAGAAAGCTGTTTTGAGGTTAGTCATAAGCGGTCTTATATCATTAAAGATTAAATGAAACTCGTCGAAAACATTGTTACGAAAATTCCAAAATTTAATTTTTAGCATTTTATGAAAACTCGTCAATTTTTGAATAAATAAAATTCTAGGGAAAGGAAAACACAAGACGTAATTATGACGCTTTTGTTGTCTTATGCGGCTGGCAACTCGCGAAAAGATTGGCAACAATTAGCAGAAATTTAGCGGGAAAAGAGATTAACACAAAGATCTCGGGTCAAGTTTAGGTAATGGTAATTTGCTTACAAAAGGGTATATAAACGGCACCTCTGCAGAGGACAATATTAATTGAGTCCAGGAAGTCGAGTCGTGATATCAAAGCGCATTAAAGCGTTACAAATGTAAATTTGTGAACATAAATTCTAAATAGATTTCCTAATTTTGAAAATAAAATCTACAAATCACAATTCAGTGATACGAACAAAAAGAAGTTGAATACAAAAAGCAAAATTCTTAAAAGACGGATTCATATATTTATAACAATATTAACAGATATATTAAATATAGCTTAATGCTTTCATTAATTCTTCGCTACCGTTAAGATTAACCTCAGATGTGGAGGAAGTTCATTGGCTATTACATAAATACGACCGGACGGGTAGAGACCCATACTTCCCCTCAAGAAGTGATTTCGAAATGCTTGAATCTTTTTGTACCCACCACTCATTTGGTTTTTTTCCACAGTATATTTACCACCCAAAAGGAAGCTTTAGAGACCCTATAAAGCATATATATCCTCAATCAGCAAGAAATTCTGAGTTGATTTAGCCACGTCCGCCCGACTGTGTATTTTTGTGCTGTGTCTTATCGGCACTCTCCTGGTCGCAAAAATGAAGATATGAACTTCAAATTTGGTAGAAACATTGGAATTTTCTGCACGCAGGTTAGTATTGAAAATGCGCCAAATGAGTTAAAGCAAAAACGCACAGTGGAGTGAACTGAATTTAAATCCGCTTTTTTTAACAAAACTTTGTGGGCTTTTGCTCGTTATTCGGAAATTATTAAAGTTAGTAGGCCAAAATTTTCCACAATAACTTTACGAAACCTTCTACTCTTTACGTGCTAAAATGGAAAAAATCGGCCATGCCCGCACAAAGTTACAAGAGATCAAATTTTACTTTCTTCACTTTTTTGAGATTTTGTGCTTATTTATAACAAAGCAAACAAGGCAGAATGTTTAAAACTGTTTTGTATATGCCTCAAATGAAGATATATTATTTTCCTAGGCATGGGTTAATTTTAAAATGCATATGGTTGACACCGCGATTACATTTTTCTTAATAATACCAGCGATTTGGGTATCAAATAAAAGAACTTGGAGAGTAGAATGAGAAAAGCATAGTGGTGGGTACGCGAGATTCGGCTCCCGCCGAATATAATTTTTTTACTTGTTATCAATTGTTTGGGGAACATTTGCGGGCGTCCGCCATGCGTATTGAATTTTAGCCCTTTAGCTTTTTTTTTTTCTTTTCACCATCTTTTGATAAAGTACGGTGGACATGTTGCTTTATTTATTGAATATGTAGATTGCAGTTTATTTGTTGTTCGAGTAAAACACCAATGTAGATGTAACTTTCAAAGTAAGAAGGTCATGATTAACTGTATGCAATTTCCTATTAAAGTCTGCGGAAATAACGTCACTTTGATTACATTCGGAAACCATTTTAAAAACATAATTAGAAAGTTTGTAACGTCCGCGAACAAGTTTAGGGCAGGGTGTCAGTCGGCCTGTGTTTGCCGTAAATGTAGCAATAACGGCATTCTGTTAAGTAAAATCGCGTGATTTTGCGGTTTGTTTTTTGCAAGAATAGCGGCTAAGCGTTGGTAGCCAACGCAAAAGGAAAAGAGAAAAAAAAAGAAAAGAAATAGAGAAGAAATCATGCAAAGAGTTTAGGCTTTGGTTTTTGTTTGATTTGTCAGCTAGACAGAGTCTGGTTTTGGCAGTGCGATAGAAAGGTTCTGATTTATCTTGAAAAAATGTATAGTTAATAAAAACCTAAAATATTTTGATATGTTTCGTGATGCTGTGTTAATGAAACCGATTACATTGAAAACAGATTACGTTGAAAACAGAACAGTAAAAGCACTTGGAAAGGACAAAAAAAACTAGTTACGGTTCAAGCCAAAGTGCAGCCTGAACTTATTTTGTTCGATGGAAAATTTTGCTGGCCATCCGTGCACCCTTTTTTTTACCTTTTTTTATATAAAGTTTGTATTATGTGATGTCATAAAAGCATTTTTGTGATAATAATCCGCAAACACAAAAAAAAAAGAAAAATAATGAAAATAATAAGGAAATGTTAATGGGCTGCTCAAAACAAAACGAGAGCGTGTAAGAGGGTAAGAAACAGAAGCGAAAGTGCGAGTTTTTATTTAACGCCATATGCATGTTTATAATGTTCTATGGTTGTTAACTTTAGAGGAGCCATATGTGAACGTGATCTCAAAGAAAAAAAAAACATGAATATAGTGTGCGTTTACTAGTAAG